CCATAATGAAATCAGTCATTCATGAATCACATGTTCTAGGTCTAACAGAATGCTTTACTTAAGAGTAAAATGTTGTGTGCAATCTTTAGTATATAATTGGGTTATTCTTTATTATAATCTTGTGTAGCATCTTGAACAATACTTTAAAAGGTAAGCAAAGTCTTAGAATTAATTGGTCCATATAACTTATTCATCATTTAATATTTTAAAAAAAACTCATAAATAAGTATATACATCTGTAAAATTAAAGATATAATAACATGCAATAATAAAAAAATTTTTTTAGACACAAAAATTAGTAAGCCAATATAAATTTAAAGGTCTGAATACTAAATATTTTGTAATTTTTATTTTTTTTACCAAATTTTTTATTAGGTAGATAAAATAATAATTACTGATTATCAAAGACTTAATTAAAAAAATTTTTTGATTATTTCTAAATATATAAAGAGCACTAATCTATGTTTTGTAGATTTTAATATTTTTTGCAAAGCTTCAGAATTTTAGTCAGATTCATTAAAACTGAATAATGTTAGCTAACCAACTATATAGCAATCAGTTATAGACAGAAGTTTATCTAACTAACTAATAAATTAAATTTAATTTTACACTTATACAAATAGAGTAATTTTTTTAAAAATGAAACCTAATTATAATAAAATAAAAAAAAATCTGTATAGCAGATTTTATTAAAGCTGTAGGACTCACTAGTCAAAAATAAGATCTAATTCTTATTTGTTTAAAAAAGTTAATAAAGTAATAACTTCTCAAAATCTGATAGAATCAACTTATTAATAAGTTAATTTTTTTAATAAATAAGAATTAGATCTTATTTTTGATTATGAAATTTTACAGCTCTAATAAAACCTTATATATAGTTTTTTTTTTACTTTATTTTTATTTAAAAAGTATTTTAAACTGTATAAATAATATAAAATTAACTTGAATTTCTTAGCCAATCAGACAAACTTCTGCATATGAAGCAGTCAAATATTAACTTCATCAATAGGTTTTTAGACTCAGATACTGAAATTTAAACCAATATTCAGATTGCAAGTACTATTAATTTCTTTTATAAAAAGTTATTTTTAGAAATAAATTGCAATAAAAAATATGGTTTCACATAAATGAAATAGTGTCTGCTAGAGATGGGTAAATCATGTTTTTCAAAAAATTCTGTTTAGAATTCATTAAATCTTGGTACTATGTAGTTGAAGCTATGATCGACAAAATTTGATCTGCATTATACATAATTTTGGCTAAAGTTTAATTTATTAATTATGTAAAATTTGAGTTTGTGTAATAGTAAAATTAACCTAGAAATATTTACTTAGGATTAAAATTACATTTTACAAATTTACAATATATGTAATTTAATGAAATATATAGTACCTAAAAATAGATAAATTGCAGTTTTTCTAAATTTCCACATGTATTTATTAATTTTGCTTAATGAGCAGTCATAATTTCTTTATAAAATTCAAGTAATTTTGTCTAAATTTTTGGTTGTTGCTATTGTTCAATTCAAATAGTGAATTTTTATATATTTTTTGTAAGGTTTAATAGCAGTAATTATATTAAGCACATCTTTAGTTAAAGGTTTCATCTGATTCAATTTTTGTAAGATGATTCCAAATATTATTTTTATGACATATGTTATTTATTTTTAAAAAAGTAACTTGATTATAATAATATTTTTGTAATGTAAGTAAAAATACCAATGACAAAAAAGATAAATTCTTATCATATATATAAATAAACATATATGTGAAATTATATACAAATAAATTTTAAATAGAATTAGTTAAATACGTTAATGCAAATTAGATATTATATTTGTGCTAGCCAGATATTATAATAATTCAAATTAAATAATCTTATTTTGAGATCATATTAAAAATTACACATGATTCACTAAAAATTTATTACAAATTGACTTTAATGAAATTTTCTTACTTATTCATATTAACAATTATACATTTTTTTAACCCTTACCTCTCTCTTATCCCTTAGTAAACCTAACCTTTTTTGAAATACAACTTATTCAACAAACTGTTAAATCAACTTTATATAAAAATCAATTAATCAAACTTGACTCTTCAATCAGAAACTCTAACTTAGATAATCTAATCTTTTTCACTGATGGTTCTATTAAAGACTGTCAAACACTAAATATTAAATCAGGAATAGGCTTGATTTGTAAAATAAATACCAATTTAAATTTTAATGCAAGTACAAAATCATATACTGATACTAATCATACTGAACTTAAAGCAGTTCTATCACTTCTTTTAATTATACTATCAAATTTTACTGTTATAATTCATCTTGACAACTAAACAGCAATCAAAAACTTGCAATATATCTCTCTCTCAAAACAATTACATATTAAAAATTGGGATATTATCTCTTCTATTAATTATTTCAAAACTCTCAAAAATCTTAACATACAATTTTTAAAAATTAAATCACATACAAATTCATTTCATAACCAAGCATACTCTTTAGCCAAACAAGGAACTTCCAAACCTATTCTTGAACTAACACTGCCAATTACTCCAACCTATTTTTTATAGAATAATTATCTTATACAATTCAAAATTTATAATTTTATTGAAAATATTATTATAATTCAAGAACTTTTATTCTGGTCTACATTTAAACATTTCTAAAATATCTCAAAACCTAATTGGGCTCTTAACTTTCAAATAATCAAATCCATGAAACATGACACTCAAAAATATTTTTTTCATATCAAAATTCTTACAATAACCTGCCCATTATAGAAAATCTTAACATATGCTATTTCTATCATTATACAACATCAACATGCTTCTAATGTATAAACCTTGAAGATACACTCTATCTTTTTCTTTATGCAGACAATAATACTAATATAAACCAAGCAATTCTCAATACAATCAAATTAACACTTAACTCACTTCAAATATCTAATAGTTTAGCACTCTCTATTTTTAATATTATTATAAACTTTATATCCAATCTTACCAATTCTAATTACCAATCAATCTTATATACTATATTTGGCACTTTCTCTATAACAATCTACAATAATATCAAAGTTCTTCTAAACAAACAAATAAATATCTTTTTGATCAATTTTGTCAACAATCTTCTTATTTGGTACTATCAAGATTTATAGTTCACATGCAATATATCTTAACATTAATAGAAACTTGCTTGAAATATAACCACTAAAACTAAATGTACAAAAATTTACTTTCCAACAATATCTGTCTCTACTAACAATTTATCAAGAGTTACACAAATTTTCAACACTATACCTACCTACTATCAACAAATGGTTTTTACAAGGTTTTACTCTAATCATATGATTATATAATATTATGACTCTCACCTAAGGTTTATTACAACCTATTGTAGCTAAAAAATAATTTGAAACAATTATCTATAGCACTTATTAGAAAATAGAAGGTGTAATATTACTTTGGGTGTCTTTTTTAGCAATAAAATGTAACTTAGAAATCTTTATTTTAAAAATTTTTTTATGTAATTAAATTTCTTATTGTATTTTAAAATTTCTATTATAATATTATATAAATAAAAAAAAAATTCTTCATATGCCTATTTCTAGTGCCTGTATAGATTTCTCTTTTTCTGGTTTTGTGTAACAACATTGTACAGCTATTTATATTTTAATAAATACTAATTCAATTAAGCTAAAATTTAACTATATATTTAGTATATATATAACAATCTGCTAAATTAATTTAAACTTATAAAATTACAAAATAGAGCAAAAATAATTTTTTTCTAAAAAAATACTTTTTTTAAAAAAAATTGAATTTATTAAAAAAATTATTATTCAACAAAATGTTTATAAAAGAACTATGAATAATATATTAAAAAATAGCTAAAAACCTATTTTATTTAATAAAAAATAATTTTAAATAAATATCGTAAATATAAAAACTTTTATATATAGACAAAATAAATTTTTAGCTGTTATATATTTATTTTTTTGCATCAAATAATATATTTATATTAAAGATATATATATAATGTAACAATAATAATTTATTAATATTTTAGCTTACTTTTTTTAATGTATCTAATTAATTTATATTCTATTTAATATTTTAAATTCTATTTTACATAATAGTATATATGACTTTATATGTTTATATTACTATTTTTAATTTTATATTTATAATTTTAAATTTTATCTAACTAGCATAATACCAGAATATTATGACTAATCATATAAAAAATATATGAAATAAAATAAATTATATTTGTAATTAAAAATAGTATTTCAAATACAGAAAAATAAAGAAAAGAAAATAAAAAAAACTAAATATTATTAAAGATATTAAATAGATTAGTATAAATAATACTAGATAATTTTAAAGAAATAATAAGTACAAAGTTATATTTGTAAGCAATGAATTTGGTATTATAAATAAAAGCCAAAATGACTTTTAGAAGCAATATACTTTATTTGCATTATTTTTTATATTTTTTTTTTCAATATTAAGGTGACCTCTTTGGTTCTAGCTTTTTATTAATACTTATATCAGGTTAGTGCTCCAAAACAGTTGCCCAGGAGTTGGTCAGATCAGCCTATGCTTGACCAGAACAAAACCCAGATTTTTACTAGTTAATCGTTTTATACTAATGCTAATGAAAAATACTTTATTTAATTCAACACTTTTAATTACAATCAATTTACATTATTCTTTAGCATCTGTTAATTTATATGAATTAATGATTATTATTATGCTTTAAGATGATGAATTGTGACCTTAAATGATTTTCTAAATAACACTTTATTTCCACCATGAATTAAGACATATGCATGAATAAATAGTGTCAGTTCTAAGACAACTTCTTTTAATGTCAATTAAGTCAGCTCCTTCAGAAAATATCCATTCAACTGGAATGCTGGTCACACTAATTGTATGATAATTTCTAGCCATTATAGCCAAGCATAGATATTTGAATTTATGATCCTTCCACTATTTAAGAACTTCTTGTTTTCTGTTTGCTTGTGAAGTACTCAGATATAATTCAACTTCATTTTGCTGTTCAACCTTGTGCCTTTTTCTATTTCCATAAATATAATCCAAAAGAGAATTATTATCATTAATATCATTTTCCTGACTATAGTTAGTAGTTTTGTAAAAACACAATTTATAATTATTTCTATAAATTTTAAAAATGGTCTTTTTAATGTTTTCAATAAAAGCTTGATTCTATTTATGTTCTTTATAATAACTCAATTTTAAATGCGGATCAAGTACAATTGCAATATTATAAATAGCTGTTTCATTGGTTTTTATGTAATATAATTTTAATTTATTTAGACTTGCACTTATTGTGGTAGCAATTTTATAAGAGTTGTTGGGATTATTGTAACAGATTTCAAGTTCATCAATTAAGTAATTGTAGATTGGTATAGTGGAAGCAAGCAATGGATACTTTGCTAATAAAATCATATTTGTTGTTCATATAAACATTTTTAAAATGTTTATTACTTCTTTAATTTTAATCCATTTGTTATTATTAAGCTGTAATAATTTGAGATCATTATCTAAGCTTGCAGTTGCATCTAATGCCTCACACATTTCTAATGCTCATTCAAGCATATTATGGGTAGAATTCCACCTTGTTACTATGTCTAGAATAAGATTATAATTTAAAAGACCAGCAGCTTGAACCTGGCATGCAAATTTTTTTCAACACTGCAGTGATGATCTAATTTTAATAATAAGTTTTTAAGCTTGGAAATTATTTCTCTAGTTATGATAGATGCATCTATATTATCTAATATAATGTTCTCATGTTGTGCTTTGTTAGCTTTAAGTTGTTTAAGTATTTTTTTAAACAGTTAAGTTTAAAATGTGAGTGATGCATCGACAATGTGATTCCTTAGCATTAAAATTGATACTTTCATTTTTACATACATGTTCTAAATGTTTCATAAAAGTATCATTACTTGTAACATTGTCACTTGTGATTGCAAAAACCTTTGTTAAAAATCCAAATTTGCAACAGCTTTCTACAAATGTGTTACATAAATTTTCTCCAGAGTAAGGACTACAAAGGTTAATAAAATCTAATAAAGTATTTTTAAGCTCCCAATTTTCTGAAATCCAATGCACTGTGATGCTGAAAAATGAATCAATATTCACTAACATCCATGTATCAATTGTGAATAAAAGCTTTTCTAAAACATTTTGAAGCAAACATTTCATATTCATATGCTTATTTTCAAAGTTACTCATAATATCATTTTTTACTGTATCGCCTATAGGAACATGTGCATTTGGATTTAATAACTTAATTATTTGTTGAAAATGTTTACTTTCAGTAGTTATAAATAGCAAACTATCAAGAACTATCCATTTAGTAATTAACTCTCTGAATGCAGATTGTGTAAACTTTAAAGGTTCATCATTCTTTCTTGGATCATTATTTGGATAATAACTTTTAAGATGATGCCAAAGATTTGTTGTATTGGAATTGCCAATTTTTCAAAGCCAAGTTTTTTTTCATTACTAGGACAAATAAGACATAACACTTTATGATGTGTTTGTGCATTTAGATGTTCTGGTGAAAGATCTTTTTTCTCAAAAAGTTTTTCATAAAAAAGTTTACTTCGCAAAGTCATTTGTTTTCTAAAAAAAGCTGGATTATTACTGTTATTACTGCTGGATGTAATAGATGTAAGTGACTGGGCCTTGATTTCAGTATTAGATTCAACAAGATCAAGCTCAAATTCATTATGTTTAATTGAAGACATTATTGTTAATAATGGTAATGATAATAAAAAAAAATTTTTTTTAATAAAATCATTAAATAGGGTCGAACTCAAACAGATCTGAATCATGTGATATATTTTTTATCTCGGTTTAGAATTCGAGTTATCCAGGTTTTTTTGATCATTTCAGATTACTATGTTAGATATATGTTTTATATAGACATAATTATATTTAACTATTAGATGAGTATACAACTGGCTATATGTATAACTTTTCTATATTACCTATTTAAGAAGTTTACCTGAGGGTTCCTACCAGTTGCCATACCTAACAGCTCTGCTTAGATGTTCTATTTAAATCCTCTAATCTGATTCTAGTATTAATTTTACTAGTTTACAAATCCAGATCTATTTGCTTTTAACTATAAGACTATAATTCTTAGACTATTTTTATCCTTAAAGCAAACCTATCAGATTAAGCCATATTTTTTTTTACTACTAACCTAATTTGATGCTTTAGCTAAGACAAATACTTGCAATTAAAGTTATTCCTTAAACTCTATTATTCTTGTTAAGTTCATTCAAACACTGGTAATTATTTTTCTGACTTTTTCTTCATTATCCTCTACTAGCCACAACTCAGAACTAGTTGACTTTCTAGACTTCCAATCCAGATGGCCTAATATAGTATACTTATGTATTTTTTTTCTTTGATGATATTGGTGGCCTGGTTGGTCAGTGCTTTTCTATACATCTTTGTTATCCAGTTTATCTGACAATTTTTATGAAGATGTTTCATGAACTTCTATCAGTTCAATAGCACTATTAAAAGTTTGTGCTACCTCTTTACTCAGGATTTCCAATTGGGTTTCTGTCTTTTCAGTTTCTTAGCCTTTAACACCTGGTGGTCTTATCATGAGTTTGCACTGAAGCAAAATATAATGCCAGTTTTTTACATTCTTCTATGTATATTAATATTACACTTCACATAGATGCTCTGAGCTTCCAATGTTAGGTGGAATCTGACTTGGTATATCTAAGATTACAGATGCCCAAAACCCAACTAATCAGCAAGAGATAGTTACTGTAATATAGTATAATTTCCAAAATTTGGCATTTATAAGAATTGAACTTTAGACCTGCCACTTGAGGATTGACAACCTATTCACTTCACTAGGTCACAAACTTTTTTATTTGCTTTACTAAATAACAAGTTATAAAATTTATAAACTTTATTGTTTATTTGAGTTATTTATTATATAACTTATTCTACTTGTTTTTGTTAATTTAAAGTAACTAAAAGCCTTAATTATCTATTAGCCAAATTTAATTTATTTTTGTAAAGGTTACTTATTATACATTATATAAGGTTTTAATTATGAAGTAACTAAGTTGCAGTTTTCTAAACTGAACACTAAATTGCAAACATTATTACCAATATTTTAAATATTAGCTAAATTATTAAAAAAATCTATTTATTTATACTATAATAAGATGTAGCTTTAAATTAAAATTCTTTAATTCATTTATTAATATTATTATTTTGCTTGTTTATTTTTGTATTATTTTTTAAGAGTTGCATGTTTTGGCACCAAATGTAAAATAAGTTATTTACTTGTAATTTGCATATATATCATATTTTTAATTTTTTTTATAACTAAATTCATTAAATACCAATATAGATCAATCTATAAATACTTATAATTTTTAATTAATTCAATTGATTTATTAATTAATATTAAATATATAATAGTATATTAATATACAAATTAGGGGTGTGGTGACCTAGTGAAGTAGTTAGGTTGTCAACCTCCAAGTGGCAGGTCCAGAGTTCAAATCCCAGTGTGACAAAAAATTTGAAAATCCTCTCTGTGTTACGTTAACTGTCTCTCGCAATTGGTTGGGATAAGACACCTGTAATCTATGTCGCACCAGCATGACTTGCAGGTCACATGGCATTTGAGTAACAGTCACATGACATTATCCTTTAGGACAAGGTCTGTGATTACATGAAGGAATACAAACCAGTACCAGGTGTGCAAACCTACAATAAGTCCTTGTGGCCATGTAAATCATAGGAACCAATAGAAGAAAGATGGAAGCCCACTTGGAAGACCTGAGTAGAGAAGTAACATGAGCTTTCTACAGTGCTATTGTAAAGACTAGACTTATAAAACAAAGCTAGAACTTGTAAAACTAGACAAATGTGCCGGTCTTTGAGGAGGGACCAGATGAACCAACCAGGCCGCCAGAATTTCTGGGTTCTGGAGAAAAAGGATACATGTCAGCAAACATGTAAACTAGAGGTATAGTCTCGCCCTACCTTTCCAGGCTATCTGGAATGGCAGCTTGGTGAAACTTGAATTGAATACCAAAG